GCCCGCTGCCGCTGCCGCCGTCGCCCCTGCCGCCGCCGCCGCCGCCGCGTCACTGTGGTCAATGGCCGATCGGGGCCAATATGCTTGGCTGCACGCGAACTGCGCGGAGTCTGTCCGACAGGGGGACGCGTCACAGCGCCGTTCGCAGAAGCATTCGCGGCAACGGAGCGGAGCGCGGCCGCAGTCAGAGTTGTGGTCAGTGTCACGCAGTCAGATTTGTTGTCGGTGTCACGGTTAGTGTGTCATTCAGTGACAGCGACAGTCACGCTTAACGTACAGGCATTCGCACACAGTCGCACATCAAGTCGGCGACAGCAGCAGATGCAGTTGTCGTCGCAGACACGGTCATCACGTTCACCCCAGTCCGCTACAATAGTCCGCTCAGTTCCGTCCCAGCACAGCCACAGACCTTCCTCAGCTTCGGCTACAGTTCAGGCCCGCGGCTACAGTGGCGGTGGCGCAGCGTCACAGTCACGGTCGCGCGCGAGCGGCGTGGCGTGACGTCGCCGGCGCTGCTGCCGCCGCCGCCGCCGCCGCCGCCGCCGTGTGACCGATGGCCAATTGGCGGCACGTCACTGGCAGCGACACGGGGTGGCGGTCGCGCCGGCGGCCCCCGGCCCCGACCTGCGGCCCGGGCCGGCTCACCACCGCCCCGGGCGCCGGCGTGTGTTCGAGCCGACGAATCCGACGGTTCGCTACTGATGATGACGTTTCTGCTGCCAGTGATTTTAAACGAGATAGTACCTGTTTTCAATTGCCTACTTTTGCCGGCCTTGAGCGAAATCGGTGCACGTCACCCGCTGGAGCTTTTGAGAACTGAGCCATCCGGGTAATGGGGAGTGAGTGAGCGGGTGCGTTGGACATCACATGGCTGCGTAACTCGGTCTGAACTCGGTCGATCCTAATGGAGCCAGCGAGACTCAGTCTGGCCGACTTCGGCCGGAACTACGTCCCGCGGGCATCGGCCATTGCGGCATCCGCCATTATAACTGATGGAGTGGAAGAGCGCTCCTGGCTCCTGGATACTTTCATCCCGCGCCGACCGCAGTCGATGGAAAAACACCGGAAGTGTCCGCCGAGGCGACGGGCGGCCGCATGCCACCGTGATGCCGGTCGGCGCGGGCCGAAGCGCGCCGTTTGTGGCGCGCCGGGCCGACCGGATTCGCCACGAGCCAACCGCGGGGCCGGCCGCAACAAAGGGCCGCCGGTCAAGTGGTCATTGTTTCGTGCGCCGGCCGGACGCCGGCTCTGTGTTTGTTATCACCGGCGGCGTGCATTGTGGCCGGAGATAATGGCCCCGGCCGGCCGGTGCGCCGGACCCCGTCGGCCGCGCGTCACGATTTAGTGCCGCCGACGCCGGCCGCGCCGCACTGACGGCGTCACGGTGGACCTGGTCACCGGCGGCGGCGAGGCCCGGCCGGCCGGGTCGCCGTGGGTGGCGCGGCGCGCGTGGCCCGACGGCGCCCCCACGTACCAGTGTCTCCGGCCGTACCTGTCGGTCTCGGCGAGCGCGCAGAAGCGGCCGCCCCCGGCTGCCCGGGAAGCCGTGCTCATTAGCTAATGATGGCGTGGCGCGCGTCGCCGGCGCCGCCCGCTCCGGCCGGTGTGGCGGGAACGGGCCGTGACGGACGTGTGGCCGCGGTGAGGTCGGAGCCGGCGCTCGAGACGGGGAGGGCAGGCCTGCTGCGGAGACGGCGCGCGGAGGCGGCCGTCGCCGAGGCGGGTCGACGCCTCCGATCGCGACCGTCCGGATTGGAGGACTCTCAGTCTGAGCCGGCCAGGCTGGCCAGCTCAGCAGCAGCTCAGTGTTGACAACTCGGCGCCGACGCATCCGGCGGTGTCAGGCGGTGTTCAGTCATGTCCAGTCGTGTCAGACGGTGTTCGGTGGTGTCCGACGTTGTCTGTGATGTCCGGTTGTACCGGTGGTGTGTCCCATGATGCCCAGTGGTGTCCAGTGGCAGCCGACAGTGTCTGGTAGTGCCGATGGTATCCGGTAGTATCGGTGGTGCCCGGTGATGGCCGGTGGTGTCCTATGGTGTCCAGTGATGACCGGTGGTGTTCAGTGACGTCCGCTGGTGTCCGATGGTGTCCGATGGTGTCCGATGGTGTCCGATGGTGTTCGGTGGTGTCCGGCGATGTCAGACGCCGCCTTGTCGCGTCTCCCTTCAGGCGACGTCGCTGGGCGGCTGACAGTGCGGCGTCGGCCATCCACTACCGGCCGCTCGTTTGCCGATCGAAGCCTGTCTGGTCAAATTGCGCGCCCGGTGGGTCACACCCATGCATGGCCAAACGTCACACTGCTGTCAGCTTTGACACCGAGTCAGGACGTCTGCGGGGGTTTCCCAGTCTTTCAGCTGACGTGCATTAACGGTCTGCTTACCAATCCACGTCTAATGAATGTGATGCAGGTGTCCGTTTGCAAAGGGCGAATGTGGACAATACAGCTGTCGTCGCGTCAAGCCCCGGTGCCCCGCTTTGTGCTTTTTGCGTAACGTCCGCGGGCTTCTTTGTCGGTGACGCCGCTTTGTGCGGTGCTTAACACCAACAGGATGCGGACCCGCCGACGGGGACATTGTCTTGATGACTTGGAGCTGGAAAACGATGGTTTCACCGCCCG